CAACACGACACCATAACAATAACAAATCAAGACGAAAATGTCAGAAAGTACAATCGAAAATTAGAAAAAAGTTTATCAGCACAGGAACATCAAACGACGAAAGCATCACAACACGAAGACAACAATGAAAAAGCTATGGAAAAATCATCAAAATATGTAAATTCAAGATTGAGATTAAATTCAACAGACGTAAACACACAGACAGATGACGCCATAGGTACACAGAGTTCGATAATGCAGGAGGTGAAAGAATTGCGTGCAGCACATGCTGAAGCGAATGCTGACCGCGCCGACATGGCGAACAGAATGAGCGAGTACGAACGGGCTTCACGTCGCCTGTGCGAAACAGTTGGTCGATCCACGTCACCAGTGCAAGACATCGACTATGCACACGAAGGCTTGTCGACTGACCGTTGCACATCAGACGGGTTGCGAGAGGATTTGCAACGTGCACTGGATACACAATCGTTCGAGCTGGAGGCAGTCACTGAGAAACTGAAAGAATGTGAGTCAATGAACAATGCCCTGATCTGTGAGTGTGAGTCGCTGAAGCGTCGTCTAGAGAGCTATATGACTGTGACCACTGACTTGGAGAATGATGTGACCAAGACGAAAGGACTGTTGGCGTTTGTGGTTGACCATATAAGAGGTCTGCGTTCCGACTATGGAGATTGGTGTAGAGAGCATGAACAACAAGTGCAGGAGTGTTTAGATGCCGTCGCAACAGGGTTGTCCCATGGTGTGGTTGAACACATGGACCGTGAGTGTGAGACGATGACCTGGCCAGAACACTTGGAGTCTACTGTTATGCTTGATAGCTTTGTGCGACTACACGAGTCTCATGAAGTGACGTCGATGCAGAGAGAACAAGATTGGGATTCGGTAAGTGAGATGAGCAGACTGTGTGACCGAAACCGTGAGCTGTCCGAGGAGCTCTGCAAGTGTCGAGACCTGTGTGATAAGCAGGCGTGTGAGATGGTGTCGATGCAAACAGCTCTTCGTCAGGCAGTCGAACAGGCGTCAACTGCCCGAGAGGAACTGGAGGCCTATAGACACGAGAAGGTTTGCGCAATATCAGATCTGGAGGGTCGACTGTCTGCTTCTCATGACGAGTGTTCTGCACTACGGGATGAAGTGTGTCGGCTTGAGACATCGATGGAAGAGCATTGCAACACAGTGTTGGCGATAGCCAATCGAGACTGGGAGTCGCGCGTAGACGAAATTGTGAGAGAACGCAACACAGCCATGAAAGAGTTGTTGGAACTGCGTAGTAGGTTGGATATGACAGACGATGTGGACGCCAGGTTGTCAAAAGCAGTGTGCAGAAGTGACATGGGAACTGACATGCTAGATCGTATGATTGAACATGATATAGCTTTGTCATCAGGGTTCACTAGTGATACGCGAGAGACTGTGAGCGTGGGCGTTGGTAAAGATGCAGAGGACGACGAGTCAAATTGCATGGTTGTTGACGGTTGGAGCGACTACTCCTCAGAATGCATACACGACGAGCACAAGCCTAGTGTGTCGGTAGGTTCTCCGACTAGACTTGTGAGTGTGGAAACTCAAGTGACAGAGAGCGTGTCTTGGTTGGCTACTGACACATTGTCAACTTCAGGATTTACCGACCAGTCGACCAGGAGTCCAGTGGAGATGACGAGAGAGAAGCTAGTGAGTTCAAGTTTGTGTGAAGATGAGTCCAATGTGGTTGATGAACTGCGCGAAGAGTTGGCGTCTTGTTATGAACAGATAGTGAAGCTGTCTAGATCGGTGGAGGAGAGTGATGCTTCGTTGATGGATGTCCGACGTTTGTTGACTATGAAGGAGAGTGAAGTGGTGGATCTGAGAGAGGAGAAGCGTCATTTACGAGACGAAGTGAATGAGTTGAGGGAGATTGTAGAGGCAGAACGACGTGATTTGGACATTATGCGTGCAGATGTGGATGTGTTGGAGAGCAAGGAAGAGGTGTCGGCGATGTGCGTGGAGAGTCGTGGACCGAACGTTGTTGCTGTGGAGGAGGAGTGTGTGCAGACGGAGATTGACGACGACGTTTTTGACCTGGTGTCGACGCTGCAGCTCGAGGTTGCCCATCTGCGTGAGGAAAATGCGGCGACGTTGGCGGCTCTGGAGCGTTCACAGCTCGAGTTGACCATGAAACAGACCGAAGTGCGGGAACTGGAGTCACGTATCGTGGTGAACGAGACGACTTGGTCGATTCCTTGTGAGACTGTGAGAAAGGCGTCCGATGTGGTTGTCCGTGAGTTGGTAGAGGTTGATGACACGGACAGAGTGGAGGCAGACGTGTTTGCTGGATTTCCTGACAGGCAGCTGGTGGAGACTGTTGCAGGCGACTCAGTGTCAGGCATTGTGCCTGATCGAATGGACAGACAAACTACGGACTTGTGTGTTGAGGGTGTTTCAAACGAGGAAGCGGTCTCGCCCATTCACGCCACTCAGAGTTGGACGAAACCGCCGAGTGAAGAAGATAATGACGATCCCGAACTTGCCCTTTTGAATACAGACAGCCTAAGAGCGCGATTGAAGGAGGCCATGAGCAGAATCTGCGAACTTGAGAATGCCAAGACAGAGTTGAGTGTGCGCCTTCGTGAGCTGGAAGGCGTGATGATGTGTGAGGACAAGCCGATGGATGTGATGCCTCTTAGTTCTCGTGTGCCTGACCGGTCGATGAAAGTGACGGACGAAGCTGATGCACTATCGAAGCACAACAAAGAGCTGATGACAGAGGTAGACTTGTTACGAAGCAAGATTTCAGAGCGCGTGACACTGTTGGACGATGTGTGCATGGAGATGGATGAGGTCAGAGGATCACTGGGTTTCTTGTTGAAGCAGGTGAAAGAATTGCGTGCAGCACATGCTGAAGCGAATGCTGACCGCGCCGACATGGCGAACAGAATGAGCGAGTACGAACGGGCTTCACGTCGCCTGTGCGAAACAGTTGGTCGATCCACGTCACCAGTGCAAGACATCGACTATGCACACGAAGGCTTGTCGACTGACCGTTGCACATCAGACGGGTTGCGAGAGGATTTGCAACGTGCACTGGATACACAATCGTTCGAGCTGGAGGCAGTCACTGAGAAACTGAAAGAATGTGAGTCAATGAACAATGCCCTGATCTGTGAGTGTGAGTCACTGAAGCGTCGTCTAGAGAGCTATATGACTGTGACCACTGACTTGGAGAATGATGTGACCAAGACGAAAGGACTGTTGGCGTTTGTGGTTGACCATATAAGAGGTCTGCGTTCCGACTATGGAGATTGGTGTAGAGAGCATGAACAACAAGTGCAGGAGTGTTTAGATGCCGTCGCAACAGGGTTGTCCCATGGTGTGGTTGAACACGTGGACCGTGAGTGTGAGACGATGACCTGGCCAGAACACTTGGAGTCTACTGTTATGCTTGATAGCTTTGTGCGACTACACGAGTCTCATGAAGTGACGTCGATGCAGAGAGAACAAGATTGGGATTCGGTAAGTGAGATGAGCAGACTGTGTGACCGAAACCGTGAGCTGTCCGAGGTGCTCTACAAGTGTCGAGACCTGTGTGATAAGCAGGCGTGTGAGATGGTGTCGATGCAAACAGCTCTTCGTCAGGCAGTCGAACAGGCGTCAACTGCCCGAGAGGAACTGGAGGCCTATAGACACGAGAAGGTTTGCGCAATATCAGATCTGGAGGGTCGACTGTCTGCTTCTCATGACGAGTGTTCTGCACTACGGGATGAAGTGTGTCGGCTTGAGACATCGATGGAAGAGCATTGCAACACAGTGTTGGCGATAGCCAATCGAGACTGGGAGTCGCGCGTAGACGAAATTGTGAGAGAACGCAACACAGCCATGAAAGAGTTGTTGGAACTGCGTAGTAGGTTGGATATGACAGACGATGTGGACGCCAGGTTGTCAAAAGCAGTGTGCAGAAGTGACATGGGAACTGACATGCTAGATCGTATGATTGAACATGATATAGCTTTGTCATCAGGGTTCACTAGTGATACGCGAGAGACTGTGAGCGTGGGCGTTGGTAAAGATGCAGAGGACGACGAGTCGAATTGCATGGTTGTTGACGGTTGGAGCGACTACTCCTCAGAATGCATACACGACGAGCACAAGCCTAGTGTGTCGGTAGGTTCTCCGACTAGACTTGTGAGTGTGGAAACTCAAGTGACAGAGAGCGTGTCTTGGTTGGCTACTGACACATTGTCAACTTCAGGATTTACCGACCAGTCGACCAGGAGTCCAGTGGAGATGACGAGAGAGAAGCTAGTGAGTTCAAGTTTGTGTGAAGATGAGTCCAATGTGGTTGATGAACTGCGCGAAGAGTTGGCGTCTTGTTATGAACAGATAGTGAAGCTGTCTAGATCGGTGGAGGAGAGTGATGCTTCGTTGATGGATGTCCGACGTTTGTTGACTATGAAGGAGAGTGAAGTGGCGGATCTGAGAGAGGAGAAGCGTCATTTACGAGACGAAGTGAATGAGTTGAGGGAGATTGTAGAGGCAGAACGACGTGATTTGGACATTATGCGTGCAGATGTGGATGTGTTGGAGAGCAAGGAAGAGGTGTCGGCGATGTGCGTGGAGAGTCGTGGACCGAACGTTGTTGCTGTGGAGGAGGAGTGTGTGCAGACGGAGATTGACGACGACGTTTTTGACCTGGTGTCGACGCTGCAGCTCGAGGTTGCCCATCTGCGTGAGGAAAATGCGGCGACGTTGGCGGCTCTGGAGCGTTCACAGCTCGAGTTGACCATGAAACAGACCGAAGTGCAGGAACTGGAGTCACGTATCGTGGTGAACGAGACGACTTGGTCGATTCCTTGTGAGACTGTGAGAAAGGCGTCCGATGTGGTTGTCCGTGAGTTGGTAGAGGTTGATGACACGGACAGAGTGGAGGCAGACGTGTTTGCTGGATTTCCTGACAGGCAGCTGGTGGAGACTGTTGCAGGCGACTCAGTGTCAGGCATTGTGCCTGATCGAATGGACAGACAAACTACGGACTTGTGTGTTGAGGGTGTTTCAAACGAGGAAGCGGTCTCGCCCATTCACGCCACTCAGAGTTGGACGAAACCGCCGAGTGAAGAAGATAATGACGATGCCGAACTTGCCCTTTTGAATACAGACAGCCTAAGAGCGCGATTGAAGGAGGCCATGAGCAGAATCTGCGAACTTGAGAATGCCAAGACAGAGTTGAGTGTGCGCCTTCGTGAGCTGGAAGGCGTGATGATGTGTGAGGACAAGCCGATGGATGTGATGCCTCTTAGTTCTCGTGTGCCTGACCGGTCGATGAAAGTGACGGACGAAGCTGATGCACTATCGAAGCACAACAAAGAGCTGATGACAGAGGTAGACTTGTTACGAAGCAAGATTTCAGAGCGCGTGACACTGTTGGACGATGTGTGCATGGAGATGGATGAGGTCAGAGGATCACTGGGTTTCTTGTTGAAGCAGGTGAAAGAATTGCGTGCAGCACATGCTGAAGCGAATGCTGACCGCGCCGACATGGCGAACAGAATGAGCGAGTACGAACGGGCTTCACGTCGCCTGTGCGAAACAGTTGGTCGATCCACGTCACCAGTGCAAGACATCGACTATGCACACGAAGGCTTGTCGACTGACCGTTGCACATCAGACGGGTTGCGAGAGGATTTGCAACGTGCACTGGATACACAATCGTTCGAGCTGGAGGCAGTCACTGAGAAACTGAAAGAATGTGAGTCAATGAACAATGCCCTGATCTGTGAGTGTGAGTCGCTGAAGCGTCGTCTAGAGAGCTATATGACTGTGACCACTGACTTGGAGAATGATGTGACCAAGACGAAAGGACTGTTGGCGTTTGTGGTTGACCATATAAGAGGTCTGCGTTCCGACTATGGAGATTGGTGTAGAGAGCATGAACAACAAGTGCAGGAGTGTTTAGATGCCGTCGCAACAGGGTTGTCCCATGGTGTGGTTGAACACGTGGACCGTGAGTGTGAGACGATGACCTGGCCAGAACACTTGGAGTCTACTGTTATGCTTGATAGCTTTGTGCGACTACACGAGTCTCATGAAGTGACGTCGATGCAGAGAGAACAAGATTGGGATTCGGTAAGTGAGATGAGCAGACTGTGTGACCGAAACCGTGAGCTGTCCGAGGAGCTCTGCAAGTGTCGAGACCTGTGTGATAAGCAGGCGTGTGAGATGGTGTCGATGCAAACAGCTCTTCGTCAGGCAGTCGAACAGGCGTCAACTGCCCGAGAGGAACTGGAGGCCTATAGACACGAGAAGGTTTGCGCAATATCAGATCTGGAGGGTCGACTGTCTGCTTCTCATGACGAGTGTTCTGCACTACGGGATGAAGTGTGTCGGCTTGAGACATCGATGGAAGAGCATTGCAACACAGTGTTGGCGATAGCCAATCGAGACTGGGAGTCGCGCGTAGACGAAATTGTGAGAGAACGCAACACAGCCATGAAAGAGTTGTTGGAACTGCGTAGTAGGTTGGATATGACAGACGATGTGGACGCCAGGTTGTCAAAAGCAGTGTGCAGAAGTGACATGGGAACTGACATGCTAGATCGTATGATTGAACATGATATAGCTTTGTCATCAGGGTTCACTAGTGATACGCGAGAGACTGTGAGCGTGGGCGTTGGTAAAGATGCAGAGGACGACGAGTCGAATTGCATGGTTGTTGACGGTTGGAGCGACTACTCCTCAGAATGCATACACGACGAGCACAAGCCTAGTGTGTCGGTAGGTTCTCCGACTAGACTTGTGAGTGTGGAAACTCAAGTGACAGAGAGCGTGTCTTGGTTGGCTACTGACACATTGTCAACTTCAGGATTTACCGACCAGTCGACCAGGAGTCCAGTGGAGATGAAGAGAGAGAAGCTAGTGAGTTCAAGTTTGTGTGAAGATGAGTCCAATGTGGTTGATGAACTGCGCGAAGAGTTGGCGTCTTGTTATGAACAGATAGTGAAGCTGTCTAGATCGGTGGAGGAGAGTGATGCTTCGTTGATGGATGTCCGACGTTTGTTGACTATGAAGGAGAGTGAAGTGGCGGATCTGAGAGAGGAGAAGCGTCATTTACGAGACGAAGTGAATGAGTTGAGGGAGATTGTAGAGGCAGAACCACGTGATTTGGACATTATGCGTGCAGATGTGGATGTGTTGGAGAGCAAGGAAGAGGTGTCGGCGATGTGCGTGGAGAGTCGTGGACCGAACGTTGTTGCTGTGGAGGAGGAGTGTGTGCAGACGGAGATTGACGACGACGTTTTTGACCTGGTGTCGACGCTGCAGCTCGAGGTTGCCCATCTGCGTGAGGAAAATGCGGCGACGTTGGCGGCTCTGGAGCGTTCACAGCTCGAGTTGACCATGAAACAGACCGAAGTGCAGGAACTGGAGTCACGTATCGTGGTGAACGAGACGACTTGGTCGATTCCTTGTGAGACTGTGAGAAAGGCGTCCGATGTGGTTGTCCGTGAGTTGGTAGAGGTTGATGACACGGACAGAGTGGAGGCAGACGTGTTTGCTGGATTTCCTGACAGGCAGCTGGTGGAGACTGTTGCAGGCGACTCAGTGTCAGGCATTGTGCCTGATCGAATGGACAGACAAACTACGGACTTGTGTGTTGAGGGTGTTTCAAACGAGGAAGCGGTCTCGCCCATTCACGCCACTCAGAGTTGGACGAAACCGCCGAGTGAAGAAGATAATGACGATGCCGAACTTGCCCTTTTGAATACAGACAGCCTAAGAGCGCGATTGAAGGAGGCCATGAGCAGAATCTGCGAACTTGAGAATGCCAAGACAGAGTTGAGTGTGCGCCTTCGTGAGCTGGAAGGCGTGATGATGTGTGAGGACAAGCCGATGGATGTGATGCCTCTTAGTTCTCGTGTGCCTGACCGGTCGATGAAAGTGACGGACGAAGCTGATGCACTATCGAAGCACAACAAAGAGCTGATGACAGAGGTAGACTTGTTACGAAGCAAGATTTCAGAGCGCGTGACACTGTTGGACGATGTGTGCATGGAGATGGATGAGGTCAGAGGATCACTGGGTTTCTTGTTGAAGCAGGTGAAAGAATTGCGTGCAGCACATGCTGAAGCGAATGCTGACCGCGCCGACATGGCGAACAGAATGAGCGAGTACGAACGGGCTTCACGTCGCCTGTGCGAAACAGTTGGTCGATCCACGTCACCAGTGCAAGACATCGACTATGCACACGAAGGCTTGTCGACTGACCGTTGCACATCAGACGGGTTGCGAGAGGATTTGCAACGTGCACTGGATACACAATCGTTCGAGCTGGAGGCAGTCACTGAGAAACTGAAAGAATGTGAGTCAATGAACAATGCCCTGATCTGTGAGTGTGAGTCGCTGAAGCGTCGTCTAGAGAGCTATATGACTGTGACCACTGACTTGGAGAATGATGTGACCAAGACGAAAGGACTGTTGGCGTTTGTGGTTGACCATATAAGAGGTCTGCGTTCCGACTATGGAGATTGGTGTAGAGAGCATGAACAACAAGTGCAGGAGTGTTTAGATGCCGTCGCAACAGGGTTGTCCCATGGTGTGGTTGAACACGTGGACCGTGAGTGTGAGACGATGACCTGGCCAGAACACTTGGAGTCTACTGTTATGCTTGATAGCTTTGTGCGACTACACGAGTCTCATGAAGTGACGTCGATGCAGAGAGAACAAGATTGGGATTCGGTAAGTGAGATGAGCAGACTGTGTGACCGAAACCGTGAGCTGTCCGAGGAGCTCTGCAAGTGTCGAGACCTGTGTGATAAGCAGGCGTGTGAGATGGTGTCGATGCAAACAGCTCTTCGTCAGGCAGTCGAACAGGCGTCAACTGCCCGAGAGGAACTGGAGGCCTATAGACACGAGAAGGTTTGCGCAATATCAGATCTGGAGGGTCGACTGTCTGCTTCTCATGACGAGTGTTCTGCACTACGGGATGAAGTGTGTCGGCTTGAGACATCGATGGAAGAGCATTGCAACACAGTGTTGGCGATAGCCAATCGAGACTGGGAGTCGCGCGTAGACGAAATTGTGAGAGAACGCAACACAGCCATGAAAGAGTTGTTGGAACTGCGTAGTAGGTTGGATATGACAGACGATGTGGACGCCAGGTTGTCAAAAGCAGTGTGCAGAAGTGACATGGGAACTGACATGCTAGATCGTATGATTGAACATGATATAGCTTTGTCATCAGGGTTCACTAGTGATACGCGAGAGACTGTGAGCGTGGGCGTTGGTAAAGATGCAGAGGACGACGAGTCGAATTGCATGGTTGTTGACGGTTGGAGCGACTACTCCTCAGAATGCATACACGACGAGCACAAGCCTAGTGTGTCGGTAGGTTCTCCGACTAGACTTGTGAGTGTGGAAACTCAAGTGACAGAGAGCGTGTCTTGGTTGGCTACTGACACATTGTCAACTTCAGGATTTACCGACCAGTCGACCAGGAGTCCAGTGGAGATGAAGAGAGAGAAGCTAGTGAGTTCAAGTTTGTGTGAAGATGAGTCCAATGTGGTTGATGAACTGCGCGAAGAGTTGGCGTCTTGTTATGAACAGATAGTGAAGCTGTCTAGATCGGTGGAGGAGAGTGATGCTTCGTTGATGGATGTCCGACGTTTGTTGACTATGAAGGAGAGTGAAGTGGCGGATCTGAGAGAGGAGAAGCGTCATTTACGAGACGAAGTGAATGAGTTGAGGGAGATTGTAGAGGCAGAACCACGTGATTTGGACATTATGCGTGCAGATGTGGATGTGTTGGAGAGCAAGGAAGAGGTGTCGGCGATGTGCGTGGAGAGTCGTGGACCGAACGTTGTTGCTGTGGAGGAGGAGTGTGTGCAGACGGAGATTGACGACGACGTTTTTGACCTGGTGTCGACGCTGCAGCTCGAGGTTGCCCATCTGCGTGAGGAAAATGCGGCGACGTTGGCGGCTCTGGAGCGTTCACAGCTCGAGTTGACCATGAAACAGACCGAAGTGCAGGAACTGGAGTCACGTATCGTGGTGAACGAGACGACTTGGTCGATTCCTTGTGAGACTGTGAGAAAGGCGTCCGATGTGGTTGTCCGTGAGTTGGTAGAGGTTGATGACACGGACAGAGTGGAGGCAGACGTGTTTGCTGGATTTCCTGACAGGCAGCTGGTGGAGACTGTTGCAGGCGACTCAGTGTCAGGCATTGTGCCTGATCGAATGGACAGACAAACTACGGACTTGTGTGTTGAGGGTGTTTCAAACGAGGAAGCGGTCTCGCCCATTCACGCCACTCAGAGTTGGACGAAACCGCCGAGTGAAGAAGATAATGACGATGCCGAACTTGCCCTTTTGAATACAGACAGCCTAAGAGCGCGATTGAAGGAGGCCATGAGCAGAATCTGCGAACTTGAGAATGCCAAGACAGAGTTGAGTGTGCGCCTTCGTGAGCTGGAAGGCGTGATGATGTGTGAGGACAAGCCGATGGATGTGATGCCTCTTAGTTCTCGTGTGCCTGACCGGTCGATGAAAGTGACGGACGAAGCTGATGCACTATCGAAGCACAACAAAGAGCTGATGACAGAGGTAGACTTGTTACGAAGCAAGATTTCAGAGCGCGTGACACTGTTGGACGATGTGTGCATGGAGATGGATGAGGTCAGAGGATCACTGGGTTTCTTGTTGAAGCAGGTGAAAGAATTGCGTGCAGCACATGCTGAAGCGAATGCTGACCGCGCCGACATGGCGAACAGAATGAGCGAGTACGAACGGGCTTCACGTCGCCTGTGCGAAACAGTTGGTCGATCCACGTCACCAGTGCAAGACATCGACTATGCACACGAAGGCTTGTCGACTGACCGTTGCACATCAGACGGGTTGCGAGAGGATTTGCAACGTGCACTGGATACACAATCGTTCGAGCTGGAGGCAGTCACTGAGAAACTGAAAGAATGTGAGTCAATGAACAATGCCCTGATCTGTGAGTGTGAGTCGCTGAAGCGTCGTCTAGAGAGCTATATGACTGTGACCACTGACTTGGAGAATGATGTGACCAAGACGAAAGGACTGTTGGCGTTTGTGGTTGACCATATAAGAGGTCTGCGTTCCGACTATGGAGATTGGTGTAGAGAGCATGAACAACAAGTGCAGGAGTGTTTAGATGCCGTCGCAACAGGGTTGTCCCATGGTGTGGTTGAACACGTGGACCGTGAGTGTGAGACGATGACCTGGCCAGAACACTTGGAGTCTACTGTTATGCTTGATAGCTTTGTGCGACTACACGAGTCTCATGAAGTGACGTCGATGCAGAGAGAACAAGATTGGGATTCGGTAAGTGAGATGAGCAGACTGTGTGACCGAAACCGTGAGCTGTCCGAGGAGCTCTGCAAGTGTCGAGACCTGTGTGATAAGCAGGCGTGTGAGATGGTGTCGATGCAAACAGCTCTTCGTCAGGCAGTCGAACAGGCGTCAACTGCCCGAGAGGAACTGGAGGCCTATAGACACGAGAAGGTTTGCGCAATATCAGATCTGGAGGGTCGACTGTCTGCTTCTCATGACGAGTGTTCTGCACTACGGGATGAAGTGTGTCGGCTTGAGACATCGATGGAAGAGCATTGCAACACAGTGTTGGCGATAGCCAATCGAGACTGGGAGTCGCGCGTAGACGAAATTGTGAGAGAACGCAACACAGCCATGAAAGAGTTGTTGGAACTGCGTAGTAGGTTGGATATGACAGACGATGTGGACGCCAGGTTGTCAAAAGCAGTGTGCAGAAGTGACATGGGAACTGACATGCTAGATCGTATGATTGAACATGATATAGCTTTGTCATCAGGGTTCACTAGTGATACGCGAGAGACTGTGAGCGTGGGCGTTGGTAAAGATGCAGAGGACGACGAGTCGAATTGCATGGTTGTTGACGGTTGGAGCGACTACTCCTCAGAATGCATACACGACGAGCACAAGCCTAGTGTGTCGGTAGGTTCTCCGACTAGACTTGTGAGTGTGGAAACTCAAGTGACAGAGAGCGTGTCTTGGTTGGCCACTGACACATTGTCAACTTCAGGATTTACCGACCAGTCGACCAGGAGTCCAGTGGAGATGAAGAGAGAGAAGCTAGTGAGTTCAAGTTTGTGTGAAGATGAGTCCAATGTGGTTGATGAACTGCGCGAAGAGTTGGCGTCTTGTTATGAACAGATAGTGAAGCTGTCTAGATCGGTGGAGGAGAGTGATGCTTCGTTGATGGATGTCCGACGTTTGTTGACTATGAAGGAGAGTGAAGTGGCGGATCTGAGAGAGGAGAAGCGTCATTTACGAGACGAAGTGAATGAGTTGAGGGAGATTGTAGAGGCAGAACCACGTGATTTGGACATTATGCGTGCAGATGTGGATGTGTTGGAGAGCAAGGAAGAGGTGTCGGCGATGTGCGTGGAGAGTCGTGGACCGAACGTTGTTGCTGTGGAGGAGGAGTGTGTGCAGACGGAGATTGACGACGACGTTTTTGACCTGGTGTCGACGCTGCAGCTCGAGGTTGCCCATCTGCGTGAGGAAAATGCGGCGACGTTGGCGGCTCTGGAGCGTTCACAGCTCGAGTTGACCATGAAACAGACCGAAGTGCAGGAACTGGAGTCACGTATCGTGGTGAACGAGACGACTTGGTCGATTCCTTGTGAGACTGTGAGAAAGGCGTCCGATGTGGTTGTCCGTGAGTTGGTAGAGGTTGATGACACGGACAGAGTGGAGGCAGACGTGTTTGCTGGATTTCCTGACAGGCAGCTGGTGGAGACTGTTGCAGGCGACTCAGTGTCAGGCATTGTGCCTGATCGAATGGACAGACAAACTACGGACTTGTGTGTTGAGGGTGTTTCAAACGAGGAAGCGGTCTCGCCCATTCACGCCACTCAGAGTTGGACGAAACCGCCGAGTGAAGAAGATAATGACGATGCCGAACTTGCCCTTTTGAATACAGACAGCCTAAGAGCGCGATTGAAGGAGGCCATGAGCAGAATCTGCGAACTTGAGAATGCCAAGACAGAGTTGAGTGTGCGCCTTCGTGAGCTGGAAGGCGTGATGATGTGTGAGGACAAGCCGATGGATGTGATGCCTCTTAGTTCTCGTGTGCCTGACCGGTCGATGAAAGTGACGGACGAAGCTGATGCACTATCGAAGCACAACAAAGAGCTGATGACAGAGGTAGACTTGTTACGAAGCAAGATTTCAGAGCGCGTGACACTGTTGGACGATGTGTGCATGGAGATGGATGAGGTCAGAGGATCACTGGGTTTCTTGTTGAAGCAGGTGAAAGAATTGCGTGCAGCACATGCTGAAGCGAATGCTGACCGCGCCGACATGGCGAACAGAATGAGCGAGTACGAACGGGCTTCACGTCGCCTGTGCGAAACAGTTGGTCGATCCACGTCACCAGTGCAAGACATCGACTATGCACACGAAGGCTTGTCGACTGACCGTTGCACATCAGACGGGTTGCGAGAGGATTTGCAACGTGCACTGGATACACAATCGTTCGAGCTGGAGGCAGTCACTGAGAAACTGAAAGAATGTGAGTCAATGAACAATGCCCTGATCTGTGAGTGTGAGTCGCTGAAGCGTCGTCTAGAGAGCTATATGACTGTGACCACTGACTTGGAGAATGATGTGACCAAGACGAAAGGACTGTTGGCGTTTGTGGTTGACCATATAAGAGGTCTGCGTTCCGACTATGGAGATTGGTGTAGAGAGCATGAACAACAAGTGCAGGAGTGTTTAGATGCCGTCGCAACAGGGTTGTCCCATGGTGTGGTTGAACACGTGGACCGTGAGTGTGAGACGATGACCTGGCCAGAACACTTGGAGTCTACTGTTATGCTTGATAGCTTTGTGCGACTACACGAGTCTCATGAAGTGACGTCGATGCAGAGAGAACAAGATTGGGATTCAATAAATGAGATGAGCAGATTGTCTGTTCGGAATTTGAAACCTTCTGACATTTGCTTTTCTAGTCGTCATTTATCAAATCAACTATCTTGTTGTAATAATTCTTCCATTGAATATGATCATGGATTATTTTTACATGATGAACTTTCTGATCTAAAACAAAATTTCTCTAAAATTTCAATGTCTTTAGCATTCTCTATTGATTTTGTTGAATTATGTATGAAATTACTTACAATGTTTGTGAATTTATTTATAGATTTATCTAAATTATCGTTTATCGCTTTTGATTTTATATTCTGTGAAGAATTTGTTAATCTTTTATCCGATATTATTTCATTTTCTAAATCATCTAATTTTATTCATATTTTTGGTAATTATTCTAATAGTTTAACAAATATCAGTAATCTTTATGAATTATTATTATTATCCGGTTGTTTAAATACTTGTAGTTTATGTAAAATTCAATATGATTATAATCATAGGTTTCTATGTAATTTATGTATTCATTGTATTTCTTCTATAAAAAATCTTGATATTCATCATAACATCAATCTAATGAATAATACCAATGATAATACTGATCATGATTATAATATGAATACTTCTAAAGATTTATTATCTGATCATTATTATTCTAATACAATTTTATCACAACAATCAATCATTGATAAAACTCAACAAATTGATTTTGAACATAAATTTATTATTGCTAAATCAGAAATCAATCGATTATCTCATTTATTATATAATATAAGATTAAATCAATATAATGAACATGAAGAAGAAAATGTACCAAATGTACTACTGTCACAACAACAAGAAGTAGAACAACAACAACAAAAACAACAATTATACAAATTGAATCATTCTATATTACAAACAGGTAATAGTTTATTGAATAGAATAAATATAATCATTACAAAAATTGAAATGATTCAAACTCATATTAACAATTTAAAATATAATCAACAATTGATTAATTTAAAAAAAATAAATCATCAATGGAAAATCAATATTAATATGATATTGAATAATTTATTGATTTTAATTAATAAAATCAATAATGATCATAATATAGCAACTACAATCCCAACAACAACAATAATAACAAAAGATATCCTCTCAATGACTAATGATAATCTGAATGAATTCAATTATTCTAATTATTCTATAAATATATTATATCCAAATGAAATTATACCAATATTTAATATATTAATGAATGATTTTCATAATTATATTAATAGAATAGGAATAATTGAAAATCGATATAATTTATTTTATGATCAATTAAATAAACAATGTAATCAACTTAATGATGAAATAAATCAATTACAATTATTAATTTATAATCAAATACCTATAATAGATAACATAGTTACTAATAATTTAGTTACTATGTCAACTGAAGTCAATCATGATAACGATGATAATGATGATGATAATAATAATAATAATAATAATACAGAGAATCTTCCTATCAATATAGATATTAAAAATATTATAGAAAAAATTAAACTATATACAAATCAATTAAATTCTATTAAAAGACAAATTAAACAACAAATAGAACAAAAGAAAATTGAACATAACAAAACATTAGATGATGATGATGATGAAGAGGAAGATAATACTAATGTAGAAAATAAAGTAATAGAAGATAGTTACACATTACATTCATATACATTGAATGAAAAAGAATTATCTTTAAGCAAAAATAGTGAAACAATTGAATGTTCAAAACAAATCAAATCAATATTTAAAGAAGTGAATAATATGAAAGATGAAATTTTCATGATTAAAACAATAATATTCAATATAAAAGATTATATGAATAAAATAATTGAAGAAAACTTTCATATTATAGAACAAAGTTTACCAGATGTAAGAAGAGATAATTATTCTAATGAATTCCGTGATACTCCTGTTATTGATTCTACAGATGAAATGATATCATCTTTCATTAAAGTACCTATTACAATGGATCCGAAACAATTAGGTGGTTCTTCTGATGTTAGTAGAATAGTTGAAGAACAAAGTTTACCAGATGTAAGAAGAGATTATTATTCTAATGAATTCCGAGATACAGCTGTTATTGATTCTACAGATGAAATGATATCACTTTTAAATGAAGTAGCTATTACAACTGAAGTACCTATTACAATGGATCCGAAACAATCAGATGGTTCTTCTGATGTTAGTAGAATAGTTGAAGAACAAAGTTTACCAGATGTAAGAAGAGATTATTATTCTAATGAATTTCGAGATACAGCTGTTATTGATTCTACAGATGAAATGATATCATCTTTCATTAAAGTACCTATTACAATGGATCCGAAACAATCAGATGGTTCTTCTGATGTTAGTAGAATAGTTGAAGAACAAAGTTTACCAGATGTAAGAAGAGATTATTATTTGAATGAATTCCGTGATACTCCTGTTATTGATTCTACAGATGAAATGATATCACTTTTAAATCAAGTACCTATTACAACTGAAGTACCTATTACAATGGATCCGAAACAATCAGATGGTTCTTCTGATGTTAGTAGAATAGTTGAAGAACAAAGTTTACCAGATGTAAGAAGAGATTATTATTTGAATGAATTCCGAGATACAGCTGTTATTGATTCTACAGATGAAATGATATCACTTTTAAATGAAGTAGCTATTACAACTGAAGTACCTATTACAATGGATCCGAAACAATCAGATGGTTCTTCTGATGTTAGTAGAATAGTTGAAGAACAAAGTTTACCAGATGTAAGAAGAGATTATTATTCTAATGAATTCCGAGATACACCTGTTATTGATTCTACAGATGAAATGATATCACTTTTAAATCAAGTACCTATTACAACTGAAGTACCTATTACAATGGATCCGAAACAATCAGATGGTTCTTCTGATGTTAGTAGAATAGTTGAAGAACAAAGTTTACCAGATGTAAGAAGAGATTATTATTTGAATGAATTCCGTGATACTCCTGTTATTGATTCTACAGATGAAATGATATCACTTTTAAATCAAGTACCTATTACAACTGAAGTACCTATTACAATGGATCCGAAACAATCAGATGGTTCTTCTGATGTTAGTAGAATAGTTGAAGAACAAAGTTTACCAGATGTAAGAAGAGATTATTATTTGAATGAATTCCGTGATACTCCTGTTATTGATTCTACAGATGAAATGATATCACTTTTAAATGAAGTAGCTATTACAACTGAAGTACCTATTACAATGGATCCGAAACAATCAGATGGTTCTTCTGATGTTAGTAGAATAGTTGAAGAACAAAGTTTACCAGATGTAAGAAGAGATTATTATTTGAATGAATTCCGAGATACACCTGTTATTGATTCTAGAGATGAAATGATATCACTTTTAAATCAAGTACCTATTACAACTGAAGTACCTATTACAATGGATCCGAAACAATCAGATGGTTCTTCTGATGTTAGTAGAATAGTTGAAGAACAAAGTTTACCAGATGTAAGAACAGATAATTATTTGAATGTATTCCGAGATACAGCTGTTATTGATTCTACAGATGAAATGATATCACTTTTAAATGAAGTAGCTATTACAACTGAAGTACCTATTACAATGGATCCGAAACAATCAGATGGTTCTTCTGATGTTAGTAGAATAGTTGAAGAACAAAGTTTACCAGATGTAAGAAGAGATAATTATTCTAATGAATTTCGAGATACAGCTGTTATTGATTCTGCAGATGAAATGATATCATCTTTGAATAAAGTACCTATTACAATGGATCCGAAACAATTAGATGGTTCTTCTGATGTGAATAGAATACAATATACATTAAACTATGCTTTACGTTTATTACATTTACGTGATACAGAACTATTATATATTATCTCAATAATATATAATAAGCTTCCAAATGAATCAATCAATCATATTCAATATAATCTATCATCATCATCATCTATATTAACTAATCAGGTTCTTAAAGAGAAACTTAATAAATTCTTATATTGGGAAAATATTGATCCAATCGATATAAATAGTATACCAATTCATCGTATTCATTTCAATATGTTAGAATCAAAAGAATCTACTGAACAACAAATCAATACAATATCATCTAATTTCAAGAATCAATTGAATATAAATGTTGAAACAATAGAAATAACAGATCAATCTACTACTGGTCAAATATCTTATCATGAAGATATAGATGTAAGTAATATTGATTTTCTTCAAGGATTTTCTTTACATTCATACTTTTCTAAACTTGTATACAATTTCAATAGTTAAAATCATGAATCCATTGAAGCTAGACCGCCATGGAAAACCTGGAAGCACCGGAAGGCCGTTTCGTCCTAGTATGGGACTCCTCAGTAGTGCGCATCCACGATCCCGCCCTCCGCAGGATTCGAACCCAGGACCTATTATGATTTCAACTATTGAAATTACCAATTCTCCACAAAACCCATTCTAGTAATAATCATCTGCTCACTATTGACTGACTTCAAGAGATACTCCTGGAGTTCTAGTGAGAAGCCGTGACCACTGGAGTTCAACCAGGTCTGTTGTGAGATATCAGCTCACTGAAGACAATGGTGACGGTGGCGCAACTTCGTGGATTGGTTGAAGTTAGACATTAACACCGTTGGACGCCGGCTCAGTGGTCTAGTTGGTTAAGCGCCTGGCGCGACACTGATAGGTCCTGGGTTCGAACCCCGCGGGGTGCGGGATCGTGGATGCGCACTGCTGAGGAGTCCCATGCTAAGACGAAACGGCCGTCCAGTGCTTCCAGGTTTTCCATGGTGGTCTAGCTTCAATGGATTCATGATTTCAACTATTGAAATTACCAATTCTCCACAAAACCCATTCTTGTATACAATTTAATAATTATAGCAGTAAACAATGTTTAAATCCCCGATAATCTTCTCTTTCATAAGAATATAGCTTCAGGAGGCTCATTTGTACTGAATATGTTTACTTATGCAAGTGTCCTACAAAGAAATTCGCCATCTCTATACCTTAAAAAGGATCCTATGATCATTAGATGCGTATTTTTTTTCTTTCTTAACTTCCTGTTGTCGTCTTAACATAATGTGGCAGCTTCTATCGTTGTTCATATGTGGTTAATGTCACTTTGTTTATGGTTGACGGTTATTATTTAACTTATAACCGATAAACAACACCGGAACAATAAAAATCTGATTGTCTATTTATTTATGTAAACACATAAATATTTTTACAAAGGGGCACCAAACAAATCATTGAATTTGTGTGTGAGTCGGAATACTGCCTTGGTACTCAAGACAAAGTAGGTGGTCCTCTTAATGGATCACATCCGAGCCTATGGTCCACAAGGCAATGGGGTAATGTTAGGAGATGCAATCCTATAATATCTGGTTACCAACATCTCTCAGGATTCTGAAGTTCATTTTCACCATTGTTTCGGAGAGTTTTCTAACTCCGTCAGATAGATACTCCATACCTACCAACTTGATTTAAGCACTAGACATTGACAAGGCAGATACAAACCGCCAACCTAACAAACATTTGTGAATGCATTGGGTCCAAAATAATAATACTATAGTTGCATTGACTGTCGTTAGTTCACAGGGAATAAGTGCAATAAAAATAAGTCATTTAAAGTCAGAAGATTTCTGAATTTATTTCTCTACTGTAAATTAACTTCATAATTAATTCCTAGCTGAATGTTACGAATAAGACCTAAGCAGGTAAATATGCACACCTTATTTATAAATTGTGTAACACATTCGATGTTGTTTACTCACCCAATTCTTCCAGTACATTATAAATGAGGATGAATTATATAAATTTAACGTGGTTCTCTGTTTCCCCCCCCCCCCAGAAAGATCAAGCATTTGTTGATCGTACACCTAATCGTTAGTTGAAGACAAATGACCTTGAATGCTTGTTAAATCGAAATTTCATATGCATTATCAAAACGTACAGTAAATCGGGCGAATTTAACCGACTAACTCCCTCCAAATGTATTTGAATATTGATAAACAATCAAAGTTTATCAATATTTACCGTTTATTCTATTTTTCAACTTATTGTAGATTTTAAACAAACTCGGATCAGTACTTCATTGTTGTGATAGAACTCAACTGAAATTTGAAGCTTAGGTTCAAGAAAAAATAACCATTTTGCCAACTCATTTAAATCATTTTACGGCTATAAACAATACTAGTATTTTACCGGGCAGTTGTTTTTTTTCACGTTTTTTTCTCATAGTTACTAAGTGCGCCCCCCCCCTTCCGGTTAAATAAGTTGATGAAGACTAGTAGGCCCTTGTGGAAGGAAACAGGCCACATCGAAGCACAGCACAATTACTGGGACTAGAACAGCTGTTTTTCCGACCAGTTGAACTTTGCCTCGTAAGGAGCAACCCCGTATATTAAATGCACCACTCTTGTTAATTTTTTGTCGTTTTTCCATCCAAGAGTAATTGTACTGTGTTTCTTTGTGGAGTTCGTAATTTGTTTGAGGGTATCGGTCGAGTGGGTGATTAGTCTGATCTTTACCACCCGAGTTACCGCTTACATTACTTCATAAGTCATCTGTCCCATTAAGTAATCCTGCCTACTAAGTAATAGACTCATATTTAAATATACAAATAACTAAGATCGTATACTTCTTTTTTTTTTCAGTGGTATGAACAACATTTGTATACGTTAGTTCAAAATGCATTGAATGTATTAAATCAAATGAATCAACATTTTCTTGAATCGAAAAAACCATTATTATCTGAATACAGACAAGAAGAGTTAATCAATATCTTAACAAAATTATTAACTATTATCCCAATAAACAACAATATAATACAACAACAAATTCAATCATCTTTCTCATTTTCACCATCTTTAACATCATCATTATTAGAAGAACATCCAGGATGTAGTACAACTGTTACAAATATTATGACAACAACAACTTCAGGATTTACTTATTCTATTCAAACTCTTTCATTTACTACATCTACTAATACTACTACAACAACTACATCGTTTAAACAATCTAAACAAATTTCTGAAATATCTAATTTAAATTTTACAAAAAATTTAACTTATCCAAGACGTTCAGAAAAAACATCAATAAATGAATTAATTAATTCTGTGGATCATTTGAGAAATTTACATGAATTACGCAGTTTAGCCAAATATCTTTTAGATCAATATCATATTGTTACATCTGAAGTAAGTAAAATAAATTTCCATGGATTGATTGATGTTAAATTATGAATACCGCTAAATACTGGCTCATTAGTTTAGAGATTTAAATATTCACATATGAGACCGAAGGTCCTGGGTTTATGGATACATCCTCTTGAAGAGTCCCATAATAGGATGAAACGGTTGTTCAGTATTTTCAGGTTTTCAATGGTGGTTTAACATCAATCGATTCATGATCTTAATAAAAAAAAGACTTGATGTATTCAACTGATTGTGTATATTGTTATATGACAATCTTAACGCTTCAATCTCAATTTTAACATAATGTGATTTTATAAACCAAAAGGATAAGATTACCATAAGATCTACTGTGTCCCCCCCCCCTTATTCTTAGTGTATTATCGCATGTTGAAACTTGAAAGTTATCTATTTGAATGAGTTATTAAACGCTTTAACTTGTCTAAATAATATAGACGACACATTGATCATTTGTGATGAGAATGTTTACACAACTGACGTTTTACCTTTTTCCAACATTGTTCATTTAACCCTAAAAATGAAGTGAATCCATCCATCTCCTTTCATGATATAATTGTGACAAGGTAGGATGATCTATCTCTACAAAATAAAGACGGGACTGGCAACTAATCAACTTTTATACATCTGGGTGCTATTTTACAGAAATAACAGTTTTATTCACTTTATATGACTTCGGTTACGTGATATCCGTAATGTAGGATGAATTGATGAAGAAAATTATTTCCTTCTGAAAGTCACTAACTTCTGATCTGTGCCATGTTGACAGATGCATACTACTTGGTTGGGGTGTGCACTCGACTATCATAACCAATGGTTAGATACTTTGAGTGATATAGCTCAGGATCGATCATAATGACATCGGTGTAAACACTCTTTGTCTTCTCTTAAACTGTGAGATTGAAACTACTTTATGCCTTTCTTTCTACGAACTAACACTACCATTGAAGTAACTGTTTCTATGAATTCAGTGTTCGTCTTGTTGTACTAATTAGGTATGTCAATTTGGACTGATGTCTATATGTGCCTGGTCTTATATTGCAGTTGATGGATTACGACTAATGCATAAATTATAAATGCTATGATATCTAGTTTTCATTATTTATCAAACTTTACTACTGAATTTCATATAACATTTTGTTTGTTTGTTTGTTTGTTTTTTATTCATTTATATACTTATTCGTATTTAGCTGGACCTTCAGTCTGATACTAATTGGTGTTTAAGACAGAGATTAACAAATGCAAACAGTCAATTAAATCGGTTAACAGGCTTGCTAAATAAAAGTAGTCAAGGATTATCATCAATTGAAGAAGATTTAAGCTTAGGAACAGATAAAACTTCATTACGTTCAGGTACTGTTTAATACATTATTTACTATTTTAATAATCCCTTATTTATAATTAACATTCTTTTTAATGTAATATTACCGATTTAGGCCATTGATATGGAATTTTTGTAGTTCTAATCGACTTTTAGTGGCTCTATATTTGACTCCAGTTTGATCGTTTCTTATTTGTTACTGAAATAAATATCCCGTCTATCGTCGTATGTGATCACCGACGGAATTAAATAAGCCATATACGAGAATGAATTTCGAATACGTATATTTCCTACAGTCGTTAATCTAAACAGACGATTAGAGAAATGAACAGAAGAAGAGAGAGCTAAGCGAAACGAAAATAATGCTCAGTGCAGAAAGCGAGTAAGCCAATTCTATTTAATCACTCACACACACACACACTCACATATAAAAACAAAGTTGATTAGCTAATAACTAACATGAACAAAGTGTGGCTTTTTATGTGGCCCGATGAGTTCGTCGGCGGCGGGTTCACCACTTTTTGTGGGACCCTTTGTTTTGTATGATCGTTGATCCGGACAAACGAACGGGGAAACGATGCGAAGAAAAGAAATCGAAGCAAAAATGATGCACGGTGGAGATGGCTGGTAAGCCAACTCCCACTTAACCAAGCGTTAATCAATATTTATAAGCACACAAAAATAAATTACAGACATGTGATGAGTAATGGGATAAGAACTGTACATACGCCTATGCGCTCATATAAAAGCAGTCAAGATTGATGAGCAAATAACTAACAAGGTTAGAATGTGACTCAAATAGAATGAATAGAATGGGTTGTCCGGATGTTAGAATAAGGTATTCCGACTTAACATAATAACAGACATTACGGGCTTGAGAATAATGTATAGATTGATCTATCTAGAGGGTAAAAGATCTATGTGTGAGCTTGACATAGTACCAGCACCTGCAGACTCATAGAGCGATAATAATGTGTGGTGGTCGGTGTTCGATATATTCCTTAAACTCCGTATACAGTTCGTCTCGGTAACAGTCACCAAATAATGCTCCAACGGTATATTAATCAGAAGGCGAATACGAAGCGTTAATTACGTTTATTAAGGGACCACACACAGATATCCAAAATTACAGATGTGTTAAGCAAGCATGAAATAGTTGTGCCGAAAGGCAAACAGGCAAGCGAGCGAGCGATCGAGCGAGTGAATGAACGAGCGAGCGAGTCATGAATATGAATAACATGGACATATATATACATAGTGAAATTAATGAATCATCGAGTCAATTAAGCGGTTAATAGTAAAGCTAGTAGCGTGAATAAATGCGTAGGCAGTAAGGCTTGCCGAGCATACGTATTCATACAAGGATAACAATAATAAAGGTACATACATTCGCAACAGTAATAAGGATACAATAAGTTATTATAGTGCAGGTGACTTTGTCCGTTTAATAAGTTAATAAAAGGGCTTAACCGAATAGATGAGAGCAAACTCAATTGAACGTGAGTTGCTATAAATGTTGATAATAAGGCAATATGTCACACTTAAACTTTTTGAATCAACACACGTTACTACTATAACTTCAACAACCATTCATGAGTCAAAACATAGCAACAACAACAACAAACAATAAATATCAGAAGGGATTGTGTGGAGATTTTAGAAATTTCACTGGTTGAAATCATGAATCCATTGAAGCTAGACCACCATGGAAAACCTGGAAGCACTGGACGACCGTTTCGTCCTAGTATGGGACTCCTCAGCAGTGCGCATCCACGATCCCGCCCTCCGCAGGATTCGAACCCAGGACCTATCATGATTTCAACTATTGAAATTACCAATTCTCCACAAAACTCATTCTAGTAATAATCATCTGCTCACTTGTGACTGACTTCAAGAGATACTCCCGGGTTCGAATCTCGCGAGGAGCGGGATCGTGGATGCACACTGCTGAGGAGTCCCATGCTAGGACGAAACGGCCGTCCAGTGCTTCCAGGTTTTCCATGGTGATCTAGCTTCAATGGATTCATGATTTCAACCAGTGAAACAATAAATATACGAATTAATTTTCATTGAAAGTTTAAAAGACGAATATTTTATCTACTATTCCATTGTATTATACATATAATAATATGTACTAGAAATCATCTGAATTATACTTGAAATGTATACGCTCTTGGTTTCCTGACAAAGTTTTTTACTTTCCGATTGTCTATAATCTCATATAATACATTTTGAATTTATGTTAAATAATGAAAAAAAAAGACTATCATTGTTTGTCTTATTAGTACTTTACAATAATGTAATAGTAACTATTGTATTATACAAAAAGTTCTTATCAAAAACTCGGATGTTATCTAATGAATTAACTAACAATCAACATCTATAATATTAGTGAATGTGGTGGTTTTCTTAGGAGCCTTTGACTTATAGGCCTGATCCACAAAGCAGTGGAGCAACGTCAGAAGATGTAGTCCAATGGTAGCCGGTGACCAATAATTGGTTCATATGTCATTTATTCCCTCAGGATACTGGATCCCATGTACACTCTTGATTTGGAATTAGGGTTTTCCAACTCCCCTAGGTGGACCGTCCTTGTCCAATAACCCGTTTAAAGAACCGGATATTCGCTTTCCGCCCTCTCAATTTCGTAAACAATATCCCTGCCACGAGAGGGCATTGAGTAGGACTTCCCTGTCCGTGGTTGTATACACGTGGTCATGTGAGAGTATTTCGTGAGGGGGACGGACTCTCCCCACTCTCGGCCCTACCAGGGCATTGGGGGCACTAAGTTGTATAATGAAGTATGATAATATATATTCAACTTTGCGAATGTTAAATTTGGTCTTTTTAACATATACGATACATATGACAATGCATAATTGTTCCTATGTCATTATGTTGTCCATATCACAACTGTTACTTATTTTGTTTTGTCCTTAGCTTATACGATCATCATGAAATACGACTACCAAATTAAGATCCACCGACTTATACGACCAAACTTATGACACATACACCAGGACGAGCAGCCTAGAACCCCGATTAGGCCTTTTGCGTTGAGCCCTGCCTATTAAGTCCAAAACCTCAATCTCAGCCTCCGTTATATGTACTTGGTTGATATACACACCAAACAGACCACATCTTACCATAAAATAGAATATAACATTTGTACAAGATCAAGCCAAAAAAGGGTTGTGAGTGTGAGAGACTGAAACTAATAAATTGGGAATAACTTATCAATAGTAAATATACATATAACAGAGTCACTTTATAGTCATACAGTAAGAATATACGTATATGATTAGTCTATAAATAATTCCTAACGGTTATCATTCAGTTATTCTTTGTCCGGGTATAACACAGTTTTCTAGGGGTTATTTGTATTATATCATGTATGAAGGCAGATTGAGAAAAAGAAACAGAGAAATTGCTAGTGTAGTGAAAGATAACTTGCTTCGGATAACCAATTTATTGATTAATGTAAAATTACAGAGTTCTTTTGTATAGCCGTACATTAAATCCTTCATCTGCACATCTTTAATCATCTGTCTCTTAAAAACTTTATCGTTCCCTCATTCCTGTTTTTATTACCATTACTCTCTATTTTCATTCTTGTTCACTTCAACTCGATCTTTTCAATCGTCTGCTGCCATGCATTTCACTTCTGATTGGTTACATATTACTTATATCTGTCAACATAAGTAGTATACACCACACTAGAACTGTGCACAATATTTCACTAAACGCAACCAGCTTTAATTTTTACCATTGGATCTGTAATTCATGTGCGTCTATACATTTTAGAATTCAAATATTTATCCACATCCAATAGTAGTACTTCCGTAATATCAATGATTACGAATGAACTAATACGTTAAATCTCTTTGTTTCATTGGTATCAGAAGGGATTTTGTGGAGATTGTAGTAATTTCAATAGTTGAGATCATCAATCAATTGAATCTAGACTACCATGGATAACCTGGAAGCACTGGACGACCGTTTCTTCCTATTATGTGACTTCTCATCAGTGCGAATCCACGACCCCGCCTCGCGAGATATATTGATATTATTATAAGCTTTATTCAACATTATATTTTTGGTACAATATTGAATTCTCAGCATGAAGTATTTCAACAAGTTTCCTTTACTTATATCTTGATCGATCCTGACGATAAATATTGAGTGATGGCCAGTTAGTTGTTAAAAGTTCGATAATCGACATCTGAATAATGTTCATTCGTTTCAATGCATATTGCAAACCACCATGATGTCGCTGGTTGTACCTTTTTGTAATCCTTACAGCGAAAGATTGTAAACTTTTCATAAACGCACCTGAATAGGTTGTGAGCTCAATAGACATAATGGTGTGTTAAAACAAACAAGAAAACAGATAACTTGACGAAATATCTAGATGTGTGGAACAGGTAGCCCAGATATTCAAGCAGGCCGCCGATTCGAACCCAGGACCTATCGGTCTTTCACGCTAACACTTAACCACTAGACCACTGAGCTGACCGGCATCGAACGGTGTTAATTAGTCAATTAGTTGAGATTTTTTTAGGTTTCCTTATAATGATAATCTTTAAAACTGTTAAGTTTGGATTAAGATGTTGCTTTATACACCAACATAACTCAATATCACTATTACAATGTGTACATGATTAAACTACATTCCATTCTCAATCTATTTCAATTTATTACTAAAGTTTTTATCTAATTTCTTTTTTGTGATATATCTCTCTTGTTAGAACATTATGATGGAATACGTTATAAATCTCTTCAACCAACTTATACTTTAAATAATTTCCAAGAAAAGAATACAACTAGTGGTCGACGTTTAAATTTCATTCCTTCCTCTGATGAACAATTGGTAAGTTGTAAAAGTTATACTTTCCAAAAACCAAAAAAAAACAACAAAAAAATCCACATAGTAACTAATCATTACTTATTTTGTTATGATTGTTTATGGATTAGATTTTATACTAATCAATCAATATATCATGTGTTCATATGTGTAAAAGATGATTATATTTCATGTGATAAGTTATTTACATTTTTGTTCGTAAACAATTTGTTTGTTTGTTTGTTTTTGTTTTTTTTCTTAATGAATAATTACTGGATAAAGTACTTCTATCAATTCATTAGTTCGTTCTAATTTTTGGTTAAAAATAATCGATCAATATATCTAGGTGATGATGATGATGATAATAATGATGATCAGTCAGTTATACTGTGTGAATAGTTTAATAACTTATTATTTATTATCAGAAGGGATTGTGTGGAGATTTTAGAAATTTCACTGATTGATAGGTCCTGGGTTCGAATCTCGCGAGGAGCGGGATCGTGGATGTGCACTGCTGAGGAGTCCCATACTAGGACGAAACGGTCGTCCAGTGCTTCCAGGTTTTCCATGGTGGTCTAGCTTCAATGGATTCATGATTTCAATCAGTGAAACTTATTATTTATGTTTAAATGTTTTCTGTGAGACTAGAATTGATGATTGATATTGGATCGACGCTTTAATGACCTTCACAATGTACATCTTCTTACTAGAGTTAAATGAAGGTTATAAAGCAGTTTGAAGAATAAAGATTATGGTTTATAGTTGATAGTTAGAGTTATGAATTAGATTTATGATTTTCATCACGAACTGATATCAGTTAAAATGCTGAAATTCTTTCAATTTCGTAAACAAAACTCCCACTAAGAGAAGGCAATGAATAGGACTTCCTGGTCGGTAGCTATATACGCATAACCATACGAGAGCATTTTCAAAAAGGACAGTGGATTTTTCTCATCATTGGCTGTAACAGGACATTTGATTGATACTGTTCATAGATATTTGTTTCAACCTAAAAAAAAAACTATTTATAACAGCTAGATCTACTACACATTGTTGATTATTGTTGAAATCATTCATTGTTAGGCCTACAGGTATAAGACAATTTCACATGCATTATTTACTTACTTACTTACACCTGTTACTCCTAATGGGGCAAAGGCCGCCGACCAGCATTCTCCAACCAACTCACTGTGTCCTAGACCTTCCTTTCTAGTTCTACACAATTCTTGTTCATTCTTCTCATGTCTCATGTCTGTCTGCATTTCTCGGCGTAATGTATTCTTTGGTCTTCCTCTTCTCCTTTGGCCTTGATGGTGTCTCGCCAACGGATCCGAAGTATTTTGCATAGACAACTGTTAATAAACACTTGTATCTTCTGAATGATGGCTTTGGTAGTTCTTCAAATTTCCGCCCCATACAGTAGAACTGTCTTGACATTTGTATTGAAAATTCTGAACTCGGTGTTGGTTGACAGTTGTTATGAATTCCAGATGTAAATATGCTGCTCTTGCATAGCTGATCCGCACCTTCACATCTGCATCAGATCCACCGTGTTCATCAATGATGCTGCCCAAATATGTAAATGTTTTTACGTCTTCCAAATCTTCTCCGTCAATTGTGATTGGATTGGTGCATGCTGTACAGTTGGACGATCTAAACTTCGCAGATGATCTGGCTCTTCTATTGCACACGCAATAACAAACGTAGGAGAAGACGACTAGTGTAGCAGCAATAGGTCTCAATATACACAAAGGGAAAAGCAAGGTTCTCCGATAGAACACAGCATGCATTAATTAGCTAACAATAAATTTTAAAATATAGCCATTTTTCCGGATATGCACGATTTGTTTAATAATAGCCTTAGTGAAAAACTCTATATCATTTAATGTTACATCGTTGTATGAGCCCAAAAATAAACTTTTAAAATGATTTGCATTAGAAGTAGTTATAATCTACTAACAAAAACACTGTTTTCTTGACTGTAATTTAATAGGTAATCACTTAGTTACAATGTCTTTCTTTCTTGCTAGATTAGGTCTTCATCAAAACTTTTAGGGATTACTGACTGACATAAATGATAAATATTTAGAAGATCTTCGATAGTACACTTTTTACATTGATCGATCAAATAATACCAACAATCTTTTTCTGATTATCTAATCCTTCGTACTGATCAGTTGTTATACATTAAATTATAATCTGGCCACTACTTCTTGTTACCCAATATCGTGTGCACTATGCTTAGTGTTAGATGACTGGGGATAGTCAACAAGAAACCCTCTTCATAAATACAAAGCATAATTTCAAACTTAATGAAACTGATATTCCTTATAGGACCCGAATCCACATCACTCAGGTTAACATTTTGAGATGCTACAATTGAACTATTCATACCTCATTTGACCTCCTATAAGTCTGATATATTTACGTTGATTGAGCATTGAGCAATCTCGTGTGTTGTTACGAGTATGAGGGTTGATATCACTTCCCGGCTGCCCACACCGTGGAAGGGTATTTCTTGAGGAACCTGAAAAGGAAGTTGGATTACTGTTGGTCTTAGCGACCTGTGAGCGTGACCGCAGAGCCAAAGGGACAACTGCTTGAGGCCGGTCGCTCACGGCCTTTTTGTGAGAGGTTTCTAACGTGTTAGCTCCCTTCTCCAAAGAACCTTACCTCCGGAGACGGAAATTCGTGATGTAAGGTGAGGCGTGACATTTTTAGGGTCGACCATTTCTAACCCCTTGTGAGAATGTAACATCGTTGCAGATGCTGGTTGTCCGAGGGAAACACTTTACTGCTGTCATATCCCCCTCTAAAGTCAGCAGTATGACTTCACCCTCAAACCTAGAGTTGCTGCTTTTAGTCTTACAGTTCTCCATTCGATTTGCTTGGCATGGTAGAACCTACAGGAACATATATTCCAGACAATAATAACTCAACTGGATCATCACGATAGGCAAGCTCGACTACCACGTCAAGGTAGCAACTACAGTCGGTTGATCATTAAGCATTAATCAATGTCAGATTTGTCCTGCTAATTGCCTTAAATCACCTAGCATCACATATTTTATTCATTCAGATGTTATACACTTTTCTAAATTAACTTACTATTATTCATTGTTCAAATTCATGTATATATGAAAGAATAATTTTTACTGTTATAGTTTAATCTCTGGGTTATTTATTATTTCCAAAACAAAAGATATCCCTTTACTTTAAGATTAGTTTAACAATCATTTCTACAAATTGTTTCATATACTCGAATTAGTTTTCTCTTTCATAATTCTCTTATTATTAGATTAAATCTAGTTATTCATCATCTATTCAAACAATGGAAAATAAATCAATATTAAAATCCAAATCTAAATCTGAAATATCATCAATGACATCAAGAATAAGTGATCCGGATTATTTTATAACTCATGGAATGTATATTCCAATGAGAATAATGGTAAGTAGTTGTTTATTTATATGAAATTTAAAACACTTGGTTCGTTTGATGAATTTTGATAGTGTAATAAGAAGATGAGCATTTCATGTAACTAAATAAATGATTGTTCTGGTTGTCAGAATCAACATCAGCCTTGTGGCTTCTGAAGGAACTAGGCTTTCATCATGAGGCGTCATAACTCTTCTAAATGAAGACCTTCTGACGGCCAGGGCGGAGTTTAAATGGTTTAAATAATTTTTTCTGGTTAGCGTATTTTTTAGCGAGTTAGTGTTCTACGGGATAGGGTCGCTAACCCCATACCTAAGCCTCCTCTTTTATCTGGGCTTGGGACCAGCAGTAGCCCCAGAGGGGCTCCAGGCGGAGTTGGAAGATGTAAAAACATTTACATATCTGGGCAGCATCATTGATGAACACAGTGGATTTGATGCAGATGTGAAGGTGCGAATCAGCTAAGCAAGAGCAGCATATTTACATCTGGAACTCAAAACAACTGTCAGCCAACACCGAGGTCAGAATTTTCAATACAAATGTCAAGACAGCTCTACTGTATGGGGCGGAAACTTGGTGAATCACCAAAGCCATCATCCAGAAGATATAACTGTTTATTAACAGTTGTCTATGCAAAATACTTCAGATCCGTTGGCTAGACATTATCAGCAATAACCTACTGTGAACAAACCAGATCCCAGCGGAGGATGAAATCAGGAAGAAGCGTTGGAAGTGGATAGCACACACATTGAGGAAAGCGCCCAACTGCGTCACAAGGCAAGCTCTCACTTGGGACTGTCAAGGCCATAGAAGGAGAAGATGAAGACCAAAGAAGAAAACATTACACCGAGAATTGGAGACATACATGAGAATAATGAACAGAATTGGATAGAACTGGAAGAGAAGCCCCAGGACAGAGTGGGTTGGAGAAGGCTTGTCGGTGGCCTATGCTCCATTGGGAGTAACAAACGTAAGTAAGTAATAAGAAGACGAAGATTATCAGAACTATGTGATGGGATATTAGAGCAATACATTTCGAACTATCGGTGTTTACCAATTTAAATGTGTGTGTGTGTGTGGTCACACATAGGGAAGAGCAATCGTGATCTCAAAATTAGGGTATGTGAACATGTTCCAAAATGGTTGCAGAAACAAATAGAATTAAGTGACCCAATAAAAGTAGAAAAAACATCTATCATCCTCTATTGCTAAACACAATTGAAACAAGCCATAAAATTGAACTTTACTCGGCTTTTGTGGTGTATAAAAGTGTAAAAAGGCGTATACTAAGGTTTATTGAAGCCTTAGCCATACAAAAATTCAACCCCCCCTTTATGTATTAAAAAAACGGTTTGTTCTCACCTGAAACCTACCCTGGTAATATTGACTTATTATCCAGAGTGATTAGGTTTCAATGTATTGCGCTAATATATCATCACATAGTTCTGATAATCTTCGTCTTCTTATTACACTATGTGAAATTTATCAAAGTCTCGATAAAAACTATCGAAGTATCAGTCAGTTCTGTTGTTTTGTTGTTTTAAATATCCATCTTGAACTTAAGATCAGTCAACAGTACTAATTACTCATCTCATAGTCAGTTCAAAGATTCTGACATTTTGAATTAAATATTCTGCCGATTAGATTTGTAGGCCAAGTGGATGATTTAGATGGAGTTTTATTCTTTAAGTTGCATTAGTTGAAGTTAGATATTAACATCGTTGGATGCCGATTCAATGGTCTAGTGGTTACGTGCTCAGGCAAGAAATTGCTAGGTCCTGGATTCGAATCTCGTGGGTGGGTGGGTGGTGGGGTGAGATCGTGAATACGCACTACTTAGTTGTTCCACAATGTAACGAAACGGCTCTCCAGTACTTCCAGATTTTTTATGGTGATCTAGATTCAATTAAATCATAATCTTAATTATTGAAATTTTTCGTAATTTTCATTATTGTTTATATTTGTTTATTTGTTAGCAATCTATTTCATCACAAACAGTGAAACACAAAAAAATATCCTGTCTTCCACGGAACACTTTTAACTGTGGTCCAATTTTAAAACGTTCATCAATTCGTCAACGTTCAAATAAATATCCTTATCCTTCTGAATATCATGATCATTTATCTACTGATGGTACAAATCAATCATTATCTAATAATCTGAAATTATACAATCATTGTATCAATGATAAATCCATTGAAATCATTCATAGAACAATAACATCATCAACACCGTTGTTAACAACAACATTAACAAATTCATCTAAACAATTCGATAATAATAATAATAATAATAATAATAATAATAATCCAAAGATAATTAGATCACATTGGAATGAATTAGAAACAAATCAACAAAAATTACATAATATATCAATGTCTATTATAAAAGATTCTAAACATGATCAAAATCAATCTTCATCTATATCAGTTTCTTCAACAATGAATAATGATAATGATATAATATATAATGAAAAACAATCATTATTACATGAATATAATAATAATAATAATAATAATAGTAGTAATAGTATTCATCAATTACCACAGAGTTCCATAACAACAAGAACTATCACCCCCGCTGCAGCCAGCACTACCACCACAACAATAACAAGTCATTCATCAGAATCATCGACATCATCATCATTTTCATTTACAAGTTTTCATTCACATCCTTATTCTAATGAACGAATTCCTGTAAAATCAAGAAAAACTAAATTTCATTCACGTTTTCTTAATTTATTTAAATCTAATTTTAAAAAATGATATATTTTTTTTAATCTTATTGTTTAGTATTCCTATTCTTTGTTGCGGTTATTGTTGTTGTCGTTGTTGTTGTTGTTGTCGTCGTTATCGTTATCGTCGCTGTCGTCGTTATTATTATTATTATTGTTGCCATGAATGAACGAAGAGAAAGAAAGAAAGAAAGAAAGAAAAAAGAACAAAATGAACAACTGCCTTCATTATGTTTAGTTCATGATAAACTGTGTGTGTGTGTGTGCGTGTGCGTGTACGTGTGTCTGTGTGTCATTTTTCTTTTTTTTTTCTTTTCTTTTTTTCTTCTTCTTTAAATTATCATACAAATACCTGTGATATTCCTTGATTGAATGAATTTTGTAATGTATTCGTTTACTCATTCATTCATTCATTCACTCACTCACTTGATCACTTTCATATTGTTTTACATATAGATAAACATATTCTAGTTTACTACATTATTGATTTACTCTTATTTTTTTTTCTCTCTCTGTTATAATATACATTGATTCATTGAAAAAGGGTGGTGATTATCTTAAATGTGTACAGTTTTTCTTTTTTCTTTCTCATATCAAACAGAATTTATCGATTGCCATTGTTGTTGTTGTTGTGATGGTGGTGGTTGTTGTTGGTGGTCGTTGTTGTTGTTGTAGTGGTGACTGATTGTGTACTTCCTATTAGTATATTGACTATTTACTTATTATCATTTTATAAAATGATCAACAATGTATTATGTAATAGATGACAGATATGATAGAATATAAATTTAATAATTTCATGATTCATTAAGATGATTCCTTATAATTCTATTTTTTTGGTTTTATTATTATTTTGTTGTTGTTGCTGTTGTTGTTGTTGTTGGAGAATATAAACAGTTACTTATTTCAATGTCCCTATATAGATCAGTATCATGTGAATTCATGCATTTTTGAATTAATTTTTTTTCTTCTATCCAACTCAACCTGTTTATTATACACATTCTTTATGGTTACTATGATAGTTACTACATAGTTACTGTGACAATTTCATTTTGTTCAGCTTATTATGTGTGTGTGCGTGTGTGTGTGTGTGTGTTTGTTTGTTTGTTTATATTGCCAAAACTATTTATAGCGCCATTTCTATCATTTTATAATTGATTGATTGTATGAGTTGGGGGGAGAGGGGAGGGGAGAGTGTTCTATACTTAACAGCTTCTGCTTTTAATGATATATTACATTCATCATTGTTTTTTTTTTCATTTATTCACATCACTTTTCATCATATTTCACGACTATATATATTTTTTCTGTTTTATTACGTTTATTAACGATGTTTCTTTTGTTTATCTTTCATTGTATTTTGTTTGTTTAAAAACAACATTTATATACATAAAGATTAGAAATTACCTTGTTTCTTCTTTACTTATCATCAATGTCACTTTCAACACTTCATGGTGTTAAAGCGTGTAGCTATGTCGTTTTTCTTTTGCAGTGCTTAGATCAATATTGTATGTGTGTGTGTATGTGCGAGATCTTGATCTGTTTTTCTCATTAGTTAACCATTGACATCAGATAATTGTTATGTAACAGTTTTAGGCTGTGAATAAACATTATTCATCCATTATACAATCTTTATTATTGTTGTTAATTATTCTTGTCATTATCATTATTATTCATTTCATTTTCATTATTATCATTCGTTCAGATTAAGTAAATAAATAAATATCTTCTGGATATATTGTGTACTTTTTTTTCCATGTTCGTCTAGCATCAGTTGACTCATGATTTCAACAATGGAAATTATTCAAATCTCCACCAAACCCCTTCTGATTCTAGTTAACATATGCTGATTGGTGACTGACCTCAAGAGGTATATATCCTGGAGTTCCAGTGAGAAGCAGTGACCAGTGGAGTTCAACCGAGTGCTCAGTTATAAGATAGTAACTCACTGATGACAATGGTGGATGTGTCGCTCAATTTCATGGATTAGTTGAAGTTAGACATTAAAATCGTTGGATGCCGATTCAATGGTCCAGTGGTTACGTGCTCAGGCAAGAGACTGCTAGGTCCTGGATTCGAATCTCGCGGGGGGTGAGATCGTGTACACGCACTACTGAGAAGTCCCACAGTAGGACGAAACAGCTTTCCAGTGCTTTCAGGTTTTCTATGATGGTCTAGCTTTAAGTGACTCATGATCTTAACAATTGGAATTATTTTTTTTTAATTTAAATATGAAAAAGAGTAATGATTTCATAGAAATGAATGAATTCAAAACTGAAATTGTGCGAAAGAAACACTCCATGAATCGATTTTGATAAATCATAGAGACAATTTTCAGTATGAGGTCGTGGAGATTGTCGAGTTTCGTTGAAATAATGGGCCATGATTGAAAACTTGAAAGTACTGAACAAGCGTTTCATACTAACATGATACTTCTTGAGAGTGTTTATCTACATTTCTTCACCCAGGACTCGAACCCTGGAACTTTGGTTTTGCGCGAAGATGGTCGCATAACGTTGTGGATTGATGAAATCTAGACAAAATATCGTTGAATGTTGACACAGTAGTCTTGAGTTTATGAGTAGGAACGGTCTGTGGAGGCCCTTTAGTTTGTTGTTATTTAGATTGGACGATGTTGTCGAAAGGCTCTCCACTTTAGTTGCCCGTTGATCTGACTCCAATTTGATCGTAATGATTGGTTGCTATTGTCTATCCTCGTATATAATCATTGACTTAAATCGCGTTAGTTAGTAACGGAATTAAGTAAGTCAAATAACGAGAATAAAACTTTGGAATACATATATTTTGTATAATTGTTGATCAAACAAAAGAACGAGGAAACGATGCGAAGAAAAGAAAGCGAAGCAAAAATGATGCACGGTGAAGATGGCTGGTAAGCCAACTCCCCTTTAACCAAGCGTTAATCAATATTTATAAGCACACAAAAATAAATTACAGACATGTGATGAGTAATGGGATAAGAAGTGTACACATACCTACGCGCTCATATAAGGACAGTCAAGATTGATGAGCAAATAATTAACAAGGTCAGAATGTGACTCAAATAGAATGAATAGAATGGGCTGTCCGGAAGTTAGAATAAGGTATTCCGACTTAACATAATAACAGACAATACAGGTCCTTCTCAATGCCAAGAAGTCGTACACTACGACGAAACTTCTAGACTTTAAGTCATGGTCTAACATTGATCGATTCAAAACCGTTCAATATAAGTAATTATAAGTAAAATACTTATTTGTAGGTTTGGTTTTTCTTCATCAAGTTGGTCAATTTGTTGAAAACTACTGTTCATTATATCAAAAGTTAATCATAGAAAGACACTTATAATGACAATAGAAAACTCAGTTTGAAGTCAGTAGTAAAGTTCTCAACGTGAAAGTTTAAAGTACTATGATGGCTCATTAGCATCAAAAAGAAGTGTCATTTTATCGTTTAAATGCAGTTAACATGTGAAAGATGTTCAAAAATGATAAATTGTATCATTACACAAGATTTTGAGAAAATTTCAAAGGATTTGTCGTCTACCTTAAAACAAACGCTTAATGTACAGTTGCAGTTGAATAAAGAGAGGGAAAGAGAGGCAGTAAATAACGTTCCTTCTGATGATCTCCACAAATGCGTCTTAGATAAAACTGCGGAATTCAAGTTATAGGAGAGTTTATGTATCTAAGATTATAAAGTATAGCACATATATTCATCTGTATAAACTATAGAGTTATATTCAGTAGACTGAAGATATGACTTAAAAATAATCAACAACTAAGAATTAGGAAACATTATTCATTGTCTTATACATTAACCTAAATGTATAGTGAAAAAAAATATCGGTCATGTAAGGACAGAAGGGTTATCAAGTAGGAATACAGGAAATGAAGAGGTTGACCTAGAACAGAAGTTGTAACAGTCCTATAACATTGCAGGACAGAATATATTAGTACTGATTACTTCAATATACACATGAATGATGCCCTATTGAACCAACATAAACTGTTAAGTGAATGGTAGACAAAAACAAAATACTCCTGGGACTTTAATACTTAAAATGTTTTATTGTATTCACTTTAAGAAAAAGAAAAACGACATTCAATGTAAACTATTCTGTTAAATGGACGAAACGTTTCCTAAATTGCTTACTATTACCTTGTCTATTACTTATCAACGCACAAAATCATTAAATTGCAAGAATATGGACTTATATTAAGAAAACACACTAGGAACCCTGGAGTCTTATTCATATTATAATGGAATGATCCTAGATTATTTCTTAGAGAAAGTGACTTTAGTGTATGGTTTAACTAGTCAAGTACTTTTTAATTATATGAGAGAGAAGATGCAGCAACTTTTACAAAAACTTACTATCGCCTGATACTCCTCGTGAAGGAGCATAGGCCGCTCACCAGCATTCTCCATCCAAACCTGTCCTGGGCAATCCTTTCCAGCTCCTTCCAGTTCTTATTCATCCCTTTCATATCCGCTTCTATTTCCTGACGTAATGTGTTCTTTGGCCTTCCTCTTTTCCTCTTCCCTTCAGGATTCCAAGTTAGCGCTTGTCTCGTAATGTAGTTTGATGATGTTTTATCCATTTCCATCATCTTTTTCTAATTTCCTCTTCCGCTGGAAGCTGGTTTTTTCTCTCCCTCCGTGGCGCAACCAGTTAGCGCGTTCGGCTGTTAACCGAAATTCAAGTAGCACGAAACCCGGGTCCAGGGTTTCCTGTAGACTACCTCCAACCACCATCGAATATATATATATATATATGTATATATATATATATATATATATATATATATATATATATATATATATATATACTCTTGTGTGTTAGGGTAATTTTACATTGGTTTTCACGAGAACCGGACACCATCCAGACTTTCACGTGACAGTTCAATTCCGTTTCCAGAAGAACCAGAAACTATCCAGGCTTAAATTTTATAACCCGAGTAGTACAGCTGAATCCCGATTCACAGGAGAACCAAACACCATATAAGCTTTAATGATACAATCTGAATAGTACAGCTCAATCCTATGGCGCAACCACACAAGTACCAAGCACCCTGGTGGATCATTTAAACTGATGTAGCAACATCTAAACTATAGCAGTTCTATAAGTGCACTGTGAAAATCAACTGGTGGTTTGAAACAATATGAAACTGTCAGAAACTCCCTTGTGAATCCATTTATATGTTTTGAATCTCTATTCGTTGAACTATTGATTTACAGTATATTCTCAAAACAGATGACCTAGTGGTGTCCATATATAAATTTCACAACCCTGTATTTTCAAATCAGGATTGATACAAGATATATTGGCTGACTTTTCTTGTATTCTAATTCGAAGTTGGTGACAAAGGAATTTTTCATGGGTCAATCAATGTCAATTTCAGGACCCAGTGAATCACTGTGATATTGGCGTTTGCCGAATTCAACGTCGTTTCTGTCTCAACCTCTCAGACAAACAATGACTTTTCAGTTTTACACCTAAACTCTTAGGACACCGTAACCATGGTTTGATATAACTATTTCTGTGTCATTTTATCAGGTCAAACAAAACTCTTAAGGGAAGAGGTTTCCTCACGTAGATTTGTTGTCCTAATACAAGTAACCGGTGTTAGGGATGATTGGAAGAAAGTTAGGGGCGGCCAAACCAAAACGTGGCATCAGTGCTTGAAGTCACTAACTTCTGGTCTGAGTCATGTTGGTAGATTCAGACTACCTGGTTGGGGTCCGCGTGACTATCGTAACCAATGGTTGGAGACTCTTGGTGACATGGCTCAGAATCGATCACAATGGCGTCGGTGTATACACTGTCTGTCTTCTTTTAAACTATGAGATTAAAATCACTTCAAATCTTTCTTTCCACGAACTAATTCTTTCTTCCTGTACTATCTCCTTATACACAATCTTTCTTCTATATATTACCACCACTGAATTAGCTACTTCTATGAATCCGGTGTTCATCTTGTTGTGCTAATGAATTATGGCAACTTGGACCGATGCATATACGTGCCTGGTCCTACGTTGCAGCTGACTGACTGACTAACTGACTGACTGACTGACTGACTAACTGACTGACTGACTAACTGACTGACTGACTGACTGACTGACTGACTGACTGACTGACTGACTGACTGACTGACTGACTGACTGACTGACTGACTGACTGACTGACTGACTGACTGACTGACTGACTGACTGACTGACTGACTGACTGACTGACTGACTGACTGACTGACTGACTGACTGACTGACTGAATGACTGACTGACTGACTGATATAATATCAAGCTACAACAAACTGTAGCACTTCACCCACGTTTGTTTATCATAAACAAACTGTTACTTACCACTGAAATGTTGAATGATATCAGGGAGTTTTATTTTTAATACACAGTAAACTGTATCCGCTACCTTCTGATTGAGTTTTCTTTAACTTAGTCTAATCGTCATTACTAACAACAAGGATTTTTTTCTCTGACTAAAGAGTTGTTTGTTTGTTTTGCATGCTAGGAGAACACCTTGAAGTTAATACTCATTGTATAGTATAATGCAATCTGATTTACTTGTCATATAAACCAAATATGTCTGAAATATGCGATACATACAACAATAGAAGTTGTATTCCTAAGCTCAATAGGCAAAACTAAACAGAAAGATCAATCCAAACTCAAAGATTGACTTGAAACTATTTGTAATAGTTAACCCATCATTAAAATTTGGCACAGTGCCAAAAACATTCAAGTCGATATTCTAATTAATAATCATATCATAATTATTAATAAAGCATAAGACATAACAAAAGTGGAAACTTATTACTTGTTATTTAATGGTGTTACATTTTCATTTGATGGTATTGATCTATCATTAAGTGTATTATTGTGTGATCTATCAGCTGATCTTAGTTTATAGACCTTAGATACACTTTTAAATTAATATCAATATACTATAAAATCAAAACTTGTTTATTTCACATATCTTGTTACTAAATATTATAC